TAAGATGACTATGCAGGGGGGTCATGAGGAGACCATTCAGTTATATCTGATCGACTCTCCTGCGTATCCCGTGGTGCTGGGGCTTCCCTGGTTAATCGCCCATGATCCTACCATTTCGTGGCCACAGAGAGCTCTTATGGAGTGGTCTGCCCAGTGTGTGGGGAGATGTCTAGGTGTTTCCGTAGGGGCGACCTCGGTGGAGAGTCCAAACCAGGTGCCCGCAATGCACATTCCCCCTGAGTATGAGGATTTGGCACTCGTGTTCTGTAAATCGAGGGCGACGCAGTTGCCCCCTCATAGACAGGGGGACTGTGCGATAAACCTCCAGGCAGGAGCAGCGCTTCCGCGGAGCCATGTGTATCCTCTGTCTCAAGAGGAGAAAAGGGCTATGGAGACTTACATAGCCGAATCTCTGAGACAAGGATACATACGGCCCTCCACTTCCCCTGCGTCCTCGAGCTTCTTTTTTGTGAAGAAAAAGGATGGAGGGTTGCGCCCGTGCATTGATTACCCTCAGTCTGATTGCGACTATGACGGAATCATTGCACGGAGCGCGTTTCTTCACAAAACTGGACCTCAGGAGCGCGTACAACTTGGTGCGCATTAGGGAGGGCGATGAATGGAAGACAGCATTTAGTACCACCTCGGGTCATTACGAGTATCTCGTCATGCCATACGGGTTGATGAATGCTCCTTCAGTCTTCCAATCCTTCGTGGATGAGATCTTCCGGGACATGCAGGGGCAGGGTGTGGTCGTGTACATTGATGACATTCTTGTGTACTCTTCTACCCGAGCCGAGCATGTAGCTCTGGTGCGCCGAGTGTTGAGGAGGCTGTTGGAGCACGACCTGTATGTCAAGGCAGAGAAATGTCTGTTTTTCCAGGAGTTGGTCTCCTTTTTGGGTTATCAGTTGTCCACGTCAGGGGTAAAGATGGAGGTTGACCGTGTGTCAGCCGTGCGTAATTGGCAAACCCCAACCACGGTTAAAGAGGTGCAGCAGTTTTTGGGTTTTGCCAATTACTACCGGAGGTTTATCCGGGGTTTTGGACAGGTGGCAGCTCCCATAACGTCTCTTTTGAAGGTGGGTCCGGTGCGGTTGCAGTGGTCAGCTGAGGCGGACAGGGCTTTTGGGAGACTGAAGGACCTGTTTACTTCGGCTCCGGTGCTGGCGCATCCGGATCCCGCTTTATCGTTTCAGGTAGAGGTGGACGCGTCAGAGGCCGGTATTGGGGCCATACTATCGCAACGGTCCGGCACGCCACCTAAACTCCGCCCCTGTGCTTTTTACTCTAAGAAGCTCAGCCCGGCGGAGCGAAATTATGACGTAGGGGACAGGGAGCTGTTAGCCGTGGTACAGGCCCTAAAGGTGTGGAGGCGTTGGCTTGAGGGGGCTCAACACCCTTTCCTCATTTTGACTGACCACCGTAACCTGGAGTACATCCGGGCAGCTAGGAGATTGAACCCTCGTCAGGCGCGGTGGAACATGTTCCTAGCCCGGTTCGTATTTAAAATCACGTACATCCCTGGGTCCCAGAATGGTAAGGCAGACGCTCTGTCCCGGCGGTATGACACAGAGGAGAGGTCCGTTGAGCCCACTCCCATACTGCCGGAGTCTTGTCTGGTGGCACCGGTAGTATGGGAGGTCGATGCGGAAATCGAGCGGGCGTTGCGTACCAACCCTAGTCCTCCACAGTGTCCTGTGGGTCGGACGTACGTTCCGCTCGAGGTTCGGGATCGAATGATTTATTGGGCTCACACGTCACCCTCCTCTGGACATCCAGGTATTGGCCGGACAGTGCACTGTCTTAGCTCTAAGTACTGGTGGCCAACGTTAGCCAGGGATGTGAGGGTTTATGTCTCCTCCTGCTCGGTGTGCGCCCAGTGTAAGGCGCCTAGACACCTGCCCAGGGGAAAGTTACAACCCCTGCCCGTTCCACAACAACCCTGGTCTCACCTCTCGGTGGATTTCGTTACAGACCTTCCCCCCTCGCAGGGGAATACCACTATTCTGGTTGTTGTGGATCGGTTCTCTAAGGCCTGTCGTCTCCTCCCTATGCCGGGTCTCCCTACTGCCCTACAGACCGCTGAGGCACTATTCACCCACGTCTTTCGGCACTACGGGGTACCCGAGGACATAGTGTCTGATCGAGGTCCCCAGTTCACCTCCAGAGTCTGGAGGGCGTTCATGGAGCGTTTGGGGGTCTCAGTGAGCCTTACCTCGGGGTACCACCCGGAGAGCAATGGGCAGGTAGAACGTGTGAACCAGGATGTGGGTAGGTTTCTTAGATCGTACTGCCAGGGCCGGCCGGAGGAGTGGGCGAGGTATGTCCCCTGGCCAACCTAACCCCTTTCCAATGTGTGTTAGGGTACCAGCCGGTTCTGGCACCATGGCACCAGAGCCAGATCGAGGCTCCTGCGGTGGATGAGTGGGTGCGGCGCTCGGAGGAGACGTGGAACGCTGCACACGTCCATCTTTAACGGGCCATCCGTCGACAGAAGGCGAGCGCCGATCTCCACCGCAGTGAGGGCCCGGTGTACGCACCGAGAGATCGAGTCTGGCTCTCGACTCGAAACCTGCCCCTCCGCCTGCCCTGCCGGAAGCTGGGTCGGCGGTTTGTGGGGCCTTTTAAAGTCCTGAGGAGATTGAACGAGGTGTGTTACAGGTTACAACTGCCTATTGATTATAAGAATATTAACCCCTCGTTCCATGTGTCTCTTCTCAGGCCGGTGGTAGCTGGTCCACTCCAGGAAGGTGAGATAGGAGAGACCCCCCCGCCCCCACTGGACATCGAGGGAGCTCCGGCATACACGGTCCGGACCATCTTGGATTCGAGACGTCGGATGGGGGGTCTCCAGTATCTCGTGGAGTTGGAGGGGTACGGCCCGGAGGAACGGTGCTGGGTGCCTAGGAGGGATATCCTAGATCCATCCCTCCTGACTGAGTTCCACCGTGGTCATCCCACACGCCCTGCTTCGCGTCCTCCTGGTCGTCCCCGAGGCCGGGGTCGGCGCACGGCTAGAGCCGCGCGTCAAGGGGGGGGGTACTGTCACGGATTCTGCCGAGGCTGCTCCTCCTCCTTGCTCGGGCAGGCTTCGGCGTTCGTCATCCCCGGAGTACTAGCTACCACCGTTAGATGTTTCGATGTTTGATTGGTTTGGTCTGTCTGTTGCACCTGTGTCCGTTTGTGTCTGATTATGTGTCCTATAAGTTTCCTGCTTTGTGTTTGTGAATTTGTGTGTTATTGTCCGCCTGTCCGTTGGTGCTGCGTGTTTTTCTCTGATTTATTGTTTTGTAGTTTACGCACAGTTTGCGTAATCGCTCGCCTCTGTTTTGTGTCGAGGCCGTTATTTGTATTTGCCTAGTTTTGACTAGTAAAGTCTGTTGGACTAAGCTTCTGTGTCCTGCGCCTGACTCCTACACCACATCTATATCAGCCCATGACAGGCTGTAAATAAGCATTTCACGGTAATGTCTACACCTGTTGTATTTGGCGCATGTGGCAAATCAAATTTTATTTGATTTGATTTGAACTAGCTTGAATTCAACGTGAAATTTACAAATGTCACCATGTCATTGGATTTATGTTGGTTAAAAGTTGGCAACAAATGTTGTTTTAATTCCTTTACGTTGATTACTTTTTTTAAAATCCAATCAGTTTTCCACGTTGATTCAACGTCGTCACATTACATTTTTTGGTTGAAATGATGTGGAAACAACGTTGATTCAACCCGTTTTTGCCCAGTGGGATGTTTCTTTTATTTTATTTGTGGGAATACTTGGGAACAGATTTCGTAAATGAAACTCATTTTTAGCTGAATTCATGTTGATTATTGTTTTGTATATATTTTTTTAACTCAACTTTGGGGGGGGGGGGGGGGGGGGGACACTCGCGGGCCGCTTTTGGCCGCCTGTTGCCGACCCGTTGGAGTACTTCTTTCAAGGCACAGCTTTATTAATGTAGCATATCGCCAATGGCACATTATCCAGAATAGAGACCATGCTGGTACACAATATAAAGCAAAGATATTGAACAAAACTTCAGAAACTCCTTTAGTTGCAGAATGTACATGTGATATCACTCTCATTACAAGTAGACATAAGTAGTTTGACACCTCATTAGATGATAACTTAGTTGTTATAACAGCTGGCTTACAGTTATACAGTTAAACACCTCCACTGTGAAGTGTGTCTGTCAGACAGTATGAAATGGCCAGTCAACCAACCATTTCCCCTTAACAAAGAGGCAAGCTTCTATTATAGAAGGGGATTGAAATGTACTATATAGTCATGTAGTGAGTCAATCTAGACCAGCTGGAATCAGGCAGTTAAGCCTTCACAACCCTGACTGACTTCATGACTCTTAGGCCACACAGTATCATCAATCCAGGGCTGGCCAACCCTTCTCCTGGACAGCTACTGGGTATGCAGGCTTTTGCTTTAACCCTGCTATAACACACAATTCAATTAATCAACATCCTATTGAGCAGCTAGTAAAATCAGGTGCAGCCGGGTAGCACTCTAGGGTGGGGGTTGCTGACCCCTGCTGATCATTTTCTCTCTCGGTTTTTGTTATTTTATGTCTTAGCTTTACTCATCCAGTTACCAGCAGAGCCCTGGAGATGTCCCCAGTAAGTTAGTCAGCCAGTCTTCCTGTGGTGGACTGGGGAATGTGTCTGGCCCTCTAGGCATGAGGTATTATCCTGCCTGCCTGCCTTACCATGGTGACTCCTGTAGTTAAATATTATTGGTTTTCCGTAAAGGCCTGCCCCAGATTGCCTATGGTGTGTTTGTGTAGGAGATTCAGTTGACAAGTGAGGGATTAAGTGGAAGGTTGGGAAGCGGAATTATACTTTTTTGTGTGTGATCGTTTCACTTTGTGAGGATTTTGAACAGTGTTATGAAGTGTCCTGTTGGATTCTGTTGGTTTGTTTGAGCTTATTGTTCAGTGTTGCTTTGGTAATGAGTGTTCCCTGTGTTCACTGTGTCTCTCTGTTTCAGCTATGGATTGGAGTCAGATGTTTCAGATCTTCCTCTTCTCACTCCTCTGTCTCACTGGCAGCTCCAAGGCTGTAGGAGGTAAGTAGGACACACTTCACCGAAGACTTCCAGTCAGACATTAATCAATCAATCAAGCAATAGTTATGAGGACAGCTTGAAGCACGGTTTGAATTACCCAAACTGGCTCAATTGAATTTAACAGCCCTAACTATAATCTGAAACATGGCCCTTCACTTTGTGATGACTCAACTTTGACCTCTGGTGGGTGTTGATGGAATTAGTATTTGATACAGCAACTGTGCAAATACAGTATCTGTGTGCATGTTTATTGGTGTCCTAAAACAGGGTTTCTCAAACTCGGTCCTGGGGCCCCACCTGGGTGCACGTTTTGGTTTTCGCCCTAGCACTACACGGCTGATTCAAATAACCACCTCATCATCAAGCTTTGATTATTTGAATCAGCTGTGTAGTGCTAGGGCAAAAACCAAAACATGTACCCAGGCGGGGCCCCAGGACCGAGTTTGGGAAACCCTGTTCTAAAAAGTTTTATTTTTGAAGGGACCATCTCTGTACAAAATCTATACTTACATGACACACAGTATAATAATTGCATAATTTACAAAACCACATTCATTTTGTGTGCATCAACATTCTTCAAGGGGGCCCTCAAATAGTCTCTGTGCCGCATGTTTGTCTTCACTCTATGCACTCTTGGTGTACAGAGCTCTGTAAGGACTATGGACGAGAGTTTGAGCGGATCTTTTCAGTCCCGGGCGATGCCGCCATGTTGACCTCCACCCTGTTAGCCCCCAACGTGTTCGACTACCTCAACGTCCCCCATAACATCTCATGGTACAACCAAAGGACTGGGAGAAAGCTGACCAGGGAGACAGGAAGAACTTTGGTGCAGGGGAAGACACTGTGGATGTTTAACATTGAGATGGACGATGCTGGAGACTATGTCTGTGTTGTGAGGTAGGATATATACACTACATGACCAAAAGTGTGTGGACACCTGCTGGTCGAACATCTCATTCCAAAATCATGGGCATTAATATGGAGTTGGTTCCCCCTTTGCTGCTATAACAGCCTCCACTCTTCTGGGAAGGCTTTCCACTAGATGTTGGAACATTTCTGCGGGGACTTGCTTCCATTCAGACACAAGAGCATTAGTGAGGTCGAGCACTGATGTTGGGCGATTAGGCCTGGCTCACAATTGGCGTTCTAATTCATCCCAAAGGTGTTCGATGGGGTTGAGGTCAGGGCTCTGTGCAGGCCAGTCAAGTTCTTCCAAACCGATCTCGACAAACCATTTCTGTATAGACCTCGATTTGTGCACGGGGGAATTGTCTTGCTGAAACAGGAAAGGGCCTTCCCCAAACTGTTGCCATGAAGTTGGAAGCACAGAATTGTCTAGAATGTAATCGTATGCCTTAGCGTTAAGATTTCCCTTCACTGGAACTAAGGGGCCTAGCCCGAACCATGAAAAACACCCTCAGACCATTATTTCTCCAGCCGACTCTTGGCATTGCGCATGGTGATCTTAGGCTTGTGTGCGACTGCTCGGCCATGGAAACCCATTCCTTTAAGCTCCCGACGAACAGTTACTGTGCTGACATTGCTTCCAGAGGCAGTTTGGAACTGGGTAGTGAGTGTTGCAACCGTGGACAGGCGATTTACGCGCTTCAGCGGTCCCGTTCTGTGAGCTTGTGTGGCCTACTATTTCGCAGTTGAGCCGTTGTTGCTCCTAGACGTTTCCACAAACTGACTTGTTGGAAAGGTGGCATCTTATGACGGTGCCTCGTTAAAAGTCACTGAGCTCTTCAGTAAGACCATTCTACTGCCAATGTTTGTCTATGGAGATTGCATGGCGGTGTGCTCAATTTTATACACCTGTCAGCAACGGGTGTGGCTGGAATAGCCAAATCCACTAATTTGAAGGGGTGTCCACAACTTTTGTGTCTGTCTGTCTGTCTGTGTGTGTGTGTGTGTGTGTGTGTGTGTGTGTGTGTGTGTGTGTGTGTGTGTGTGTGTGTGTGTGTGTGTGTGTGTGTGTGTGTGTGTATGTGTGTATGTGGTTCCGTAGTACAGTGCTGTAAATCTCGTCTGCTGTCTTGGATGAACAGAACTCCCTCCCAGTGCTACAAGCAGGCTACCTTACTGATTGTGAACCAGACCCACCCAGAAGAATGCGGTCGACCACAGAATAAGGTTGAACAGGTCCTGACCAATACAGCCAGAGCTGTCCTGTCCTGCCCATTGAGTGACCACATCAGGAAAGTGGACAGGTACTCAATCCAGTGGTACAAGGTGAGTCCTATACGGGAAACAGACAGTACAGTGCAAAGGGAGAATGTTGAGAGGGGAACCCTGAGGCCTGAGAGTGATGGAAAACCTGTTTGAACTCTGTCATTCAGTCTGTCTTTCTGTATTCTTCATTTATCTTTAAAACTATAGGAATGTAGGGTGACTACATGTGAGAGAATTTTCCATCAGATATACGCTATTTACATTATTATCATTGTTCTAACACATTTACACTACCAGTCAAAAGTTTGGACACACCTATTCATTCAAGGGTTATTCTTTATTTAAAAAAAAATTCACATTGTAAAATAATAGGGAAGACATCAAAACTATGAAATAACACATATGGAATCAATTAGTAACCGAAAAAGTGTTAAACAAATCAAAATAGATTTTATATTTGAGATTCTTCAAATAGCCACCCTTTGCCTTGATGACAGCTTTGCACACTCTTGGCATTCTCTCAACCAGCTTCATTAGGTAGTCACTGGGAATGCATTTCAATTAACAGGTGTGCCTTCTTAAAAGTTAATTTGTGGACTTTATTTCCTTCTGAATGTGTTTGAGCCAATCAGTTGTGTTGTGCCAAGGTAGGTGGCTATTCAGAAGATAGCCCTATTTGGTAAAAGACCAAGTCCATATTATGGCAAGAACAGCTCAAATAAGCAAAGAGAAACGATAGTCCATCATTACTTTAAGACATGAAGGTCAGTCAATACGGAACATTTCAAGAACTTTGAATGCTTCTTCAAGTGCAGTCGCAAAAACCATACAGCGCTATTATGAAACTGGCTCTCATGAGGACCGCCACAGGAATGGAAGACCCAGTTACCTCTGCTGCAGAGGATAAGTTCATTAGAGTTACCAGCCTCAGATATTGCAGCCCAGATAAATGCTTCACAGAGTTCAAGTCACAGACACATCTCAATATCAACTGTTCAGAGGGGACTGTGTGAATCAGGCCTTCATGGTTGAATTGCTGCAAAGAAACAACTACTAAAGGACACCAATAAGAAGAGGAGACCTGGTTGGTCCAAGAAACACGAGCAATGGACATTAGGCCGGTGGAAATGTGTCCTTTGGTCTGGAGTCCAAATTGGAGATTTTTGGTTCTAACCGCTGTGTCTTTGTGAGACGCGGTGTGGGTGAACGGAGGATCTCCGCATGTGTAGTTCCCACCGTAAAGAATGGAGGAGGAGGTGTTATGGTGTGGGGGTGCTTTGCTGGTGACACTGTCTGTGATTTATTTAGAATTCAAGGCACACTTAACCAGCATGGCTACCACAGCATTCTACAGCGGTATGCCATCCCATCTGGTTTGGGCTTAGTGGGACTATCATTTGTTTTTCAACAGGACAATGACCCAACACACCTCCAGGCTGTGTAAGCGTTATTTGACCAAGGAGAGTGATGGAGTGCTGCATCAGATGACCAGGCCTTCACAATCCCCCGACCTCAACCCAATTGAGATGGTTTGGGATGAGTCAGACGGCAGAGTGAAGGAAAACCAGCCAACAAGTGCTCAGCATATGTGGGAACTCCTTCAAGACTGTTGGAAAAGCATTCCAGGTGAAGCTGGTTGAGAGAATGCCAATAGTGTGCAAAGCTGTCATCAAGGCAAAGGGTGGCTATTTGAAGAATCTCAAATATAAAATATATTTTGATTTGTTTAACACTTTTTGGGTTACTACATGATTATATATGTGTTGTTTCATAGTTTTGATGTCTTCACTATTATTCTACAATGAATAGAAAATAGTACAAATAAAGAAAAACCCTTGAATGAGTAAGTGTGTCCAAACTTTTGACTGGTACTGTACATCGAATTGTTCTCATAGTAGGTACTGTAGGTCTTCTTGTGTAAGACATTATATCTTAACATTGTAATATTGTAATATTTTGTATTACTAGGGTCATTCTTGAATTGCGGTGGCATTTGGGCTTGGCATTTTGGAGAAAATAATTAGTGAATTTTTATTGATTTTAAAATGTTTAAATGTATTTGGGTCCATCTTCCCATTCTAAATCAACTAGTATGGCAGCGTAATGACTTAAAATGTTTTTATCATTATGATAACTTTGTGCCAACAGTACCACTAATGATGGTAACACCAATGACACATTTTTGGTTATTGAGGATTTTCTTAAATGGAGGCCACAGATGCTCAAATCTAAGGTCATTAAGCCTTTGAAAAAAGTATTTTCTATTTGATATGATTAATAATTTTGCTCACAATTAAATGTCCCTTCTTTGAAATTGAGTAACACCAATGACACATTGCATTTAGACACCAAATGTTCTATGCAATCCTCAAATTTATGACATACTAAAAGGGTGTGATTAGCTAATAATTTTCTTTAATATAACAGTTTGCCACTGGAGGGAATGCTCAAGGTCCTTTATGTGCTGTATATCTTTGTAATGAGGGATTTTCAAGGTGTTAACACCAATGACATAAAACTTAGGGACACACATTATACTAGTAAATAAAAAGGCTTTTAATAGCCTTTGTTTTTATTGATCTATACAATATATGAAAAACCTTTGTTCAATTTCTAGAATTCAAAATAATAGACAGATACAGTTGAAGTCTGAAGTTTACATACACTTAGGTTTGAGTCATTAAAACTCGTTTTTCAACCACTCCACACATTTCTTGTTAAAAAACTATAGTTTTGGCAAGTCGGTTAGGACATTTACTTTGTGCATGACACAAGTAATTTTTCCAACAATTGTTTACAGACAGATTATTTCACTTATAATTCACTGTATCACAATTCCAGTGGGTCAGAAGTTTACATACACTAAGTTGACTGTGCCTTTAAACAGCTTGGAAAATTCCAGAAAATGATGTCATGGCTTTAGAAGTTTCTGATAGGCTAATTGACATCATTTGAGTCAATTGGAGGTGTACCTGTGGATGTATATCAAGGCCTACCTTCAAACTCAGTGCCTCTTTGCTTGACATCATGGGAAAATCAAAATAAATCAGCCAAGACCTCAGAAAATAAATTGTAGACCTCCACAAGTCTGGTTCATCCTTGGGAGCAATTTCCAAATGCCTGAAGGTACCACGTTCATCTGTACAAATAATAGTGCTCAAGTATAAACACCATGAGACCACGCAGCTGTCATACCGCTCAGGAAGGAGACGCATTCTGTCTCCTAGAGATTAATGTACTTTCGTGCGAAAAGTGCAAATCAATCCCAGAACAACAGCAAAGGACCTTGTGAAAATGTTGGAGGAAACAGGTACAAAACTATCTATATCCACAGTAAAACAAGTCCTATATCGACATAACCTGAAAGGCCGCTCAGCAAGGAAGAAGCCACTGCTCCAAAACCGCCATAAAAAAGCCAGACTACGGTTTGCAACTGCACATGCGGACAAAGATCGTACTTTTTGGAGAAATGTCCTCTGGTCTGATGAAACAAAAATAGAACTGTTTGGCCATAATGACCATCGTTATGTTTGGAGGAAAAAGGGGGATGCTTGCAAGCCGAAGAACACCATCCCAACCGTGAAGCACGGGGGTGGCAGCATCATGCTGTGGGGGTGCTTTGCTGCAGGAGGGACTGGTGCACTTCACAAAATAGATGGCATCATGAGGAAGGAAAATGATGTGGATATATTGAAGCAACATCTCAAGACATCAGTCAGGAAGTTAAAGCTTGGTTGCAAATGGGTCTTCCAAATGGACAATGACCCCAAGCATACTTCCAAAGTTGTGGCAAAATGGCTTAAGGACAACAAAGTCAAGGTATTGGAGTGGCCATCACAAAGCCCTGACCTCAATCGTATAGAAAATGTGTGGGCAGAACTGAAAAAGCGTGTGCGAGCAAGAAGGCCTACAAACCTGACTCAGTTACACCAGCTCTGTCAGGAGGAATGGGCCAAAATTCACACAACTTATTGTGGGAAACTTGTGGAAGGCTACCCGAAACGTTTGACCCAAGTTAAACAATTTAAAGGCAATGCTACCAAATACTAATTGAGTGTATGTAAACTTCTGACCCACTGGGAATGTGATGAAATAAATAAAAGCTGAAATAAATAATTCTCTCTACTATTATTCTGACATTTCACATTCTTAAAATAAAGTGGTGATCCTAATTGATCTAGGACAGGGACTTTTTACTAGGATTAAATGTCAGGAATTGTTAAAAACTGAGCTTAAATGTATTTGGCTAAGGTGTATGTAAACTTCCGACTTCAACTGTATCGCTAAATCCCCAAAACATGTCACTACAAATCACTACTGGGACAAACCAATTTGCTTACCTTACCCTAAGTACTTTAAACAATGCATAAACAAAGTTTTGCAGTATAAAGCACTTGCATTGTGGTTTATCATTGATGAATAGTTCAATATAAACAAAAACATGTATGATGTGTAACTATTTGTAATTTTAAAGTGTTTTTCATGGTTGCAAATGCATGGGACGCAAATGCCAACGTAATTCAAGAAAGACCCACTAGCCATATTCCATTTCCGTTACCTTTCAGTGGGCATTTCTACTTTAAACCTTTCAGGGATGCGAACGCATTGTGAAAGATGACCCATTGTGGGACAGGTTTACCACTGTCAGTGATGGTCAGAAACTCTCAGTATATCCGGTCAGCCCTGAGGACCATGGGTTCTACACCTGCACCATGACCTTTGACCTGGAAGGGCTCAGCGGCAGGATTTCAGAGACCTTTGAGGGTACGGTGAAAAGTGAGTACTGTTCGCACAGCTTGGAAGTGGTTGTTTTCAATAGGGTCAGGTGACTGCATATTTCGCTGTCTGTTTATGATGTTTATGAATCATTGTCATAATTTCAGAGGAGTATTGCCTTGTCCCCAAAGTGGTTGAACCTGCTAATGAGATCATCAAAGCAGATTTGGGTAAGACACTATAGAACATATACTGTGTGTGTTCGTGTGTGTGTGTGTGTGTGTTCGTGTGTGTGTATGTATGTGTATGGTATGTGTGTGCATGCTCCAACTATATCTGTATGACTTCTAAGTATCAGAATCACCTTTATTCGACAAGCACATTTACACATACTCAGAATTGTACTTGATGATATGGTGCTGCTAGTGATAGACAACATTTAGAGACAGAATACAGACAACGGAGTTTAAACAACGTTTACATACATTACACTGATTGTACAAAACATTAGGAACACCTTGCCCTCAGGACAGCCTCAATTCGTCAGGGCATGGACTCTACAAGATGTTGAAAGTGTTCCACAGGGATGCTGGCCCATGTTGACTCCAATGCTTTCCACAGTTGTGTCAAGTTGGCTGGATGTCCTTTGGGTGGTGGACCATTCTTGATACACACGGGAAACTGTTGAGCATGAAAAACCCAGCAGAGTTGTAGTTCTTGTCATACTCAAACCGGTGTGCCTGGAACCTACTATGATACCCCGTTCAAAGGCACTTACATATTTTGTCTTGCCCATTCACCCTCTGAATGGCACACATACACAATCCATGTCTCAATTGTCTCAAGGCTTAAACAGTGGATTTAACAGGTGACATCAATAAGGGATCATAGCTTTCACCTGGTCAGTCTGTGGTCCTCTGTAGCTCAGCTGGTAGAGCACGGCGCTTGTAACGCTAAGGTAGTGGGTTCGATCCCCGGGACCACCCATACACACAAAAAAATAAATAATGTATGCACGCATGACTGTAAGTCGCTTTGGATAAAAGCGTCTGCTAAATGGCATATTATTATTATTATATTATTGAAAGAGCAGGTGTTCTTAATGTTTTGTACACTCAGTGGATATGCAACTAGTTGGGACCTTTTGTACACATTATTTGATGTATGAACTTTATAAATAATTCAATGTTTGCCCCCTAGGCTCTTCCTTCAGTAAGATGTGTCGGGTGTTTGTGCTGAGTGTGGGGGGACAATGCGGGGATGTGATTTGGAGCGCTGAAGATGACTTTATTCCCGAAGATGTCTCAAAGCGCGTCTTTCAGGAACCACAAAGGTAGGTTGAGACAGCAGCATCACAACACACTGTAATACTTCTATATACCTGTATTCTGTGTCATCCAGATGGATGTTCTACTGTATAGTATCCAAACTGTTGGTATCGTATCAAGGATATACCATTAAGATTAAGATGGGATCCATATCCCTGAATACAACGTTTTTCCTTTGAATGGAACTTCACAAACAGTCAATAGCTAGATTTCCATTCAATTAGTGACAGATTTATGAAATATAAAAACATCTGCATAACAACAATATGCACATTTTCCCACCATAGGTGTGTTTCCATCAAACTGACTTGTGAATATGTGAAATGGGTTTCCATCGCATTTTCAACTCTACAGATCAACTGTTGCGATAAATAGCAAACTTGCCCAATCTGGTTTTGGCACATGCTCTCTAGACAACAGTTTGCTGATAAAGTAGACAGGTTATATAATGAGATATAAATAATAGTAATATAATTTTATTTGATAATTGGCAGCCAAGCACCGATCATCATAACAGCATTCAAATAATAGCCTACCCTCGATATTTAGTCTTTGGAAATGTACATGATCGCCGTGCACTTAAAGGCCCAGTGCAATCAAAAATGTGATTTTCCAGTTTTTTAAATATATATTTTCACACTATGAGGTTGGCATAATACTTAGAAATTGTGAAAATTATGATAATGCCCCTTTAGTGTAAGAGCTGTTTGAAAAGACCACCTGAAATGTCAGCCTGTTTTGGGTTAATAGACCAATAAGAAAGAGTTGCAAAACCTCTCTGTCAATAACAGCTAGTTTTCCCCTCCCCACTCAGACCACTCCCACACAGTTCTGGCAAAAGTATTGCTTGAGAAATTGCTCTTTGGTAAGGGACGGATCGAAATGTACCGAAATGTTACAGTACCTGGAGGAAAATGGGGGAGTGTCATGCATTTTCAATTTCAGTCAAGGGGAGGGTTTAGCTTTTTTTTTTTAAACTAGTCCAGGGGAGGGTCATGTAATTGATGACATTTCAATATTTCTCAGTGTTTTAGAATGAGTTGCTTATTAGGCTATATATCGATGTGTGCCCGATGTCGCCCCTCATCTCTGATTCTTCACTGGGCGCACAATATCAAGTGCGCCTATAGGCTATTTAGTGTGGTCTCAATCAAATGATCCATAGCCTATAGGCTACAAAGTGCACAGAGCAAAGTTATATTCTTAAGATAGCTGCTGGGATGGTGTAAATAAAACAAGGCTGCATTACACACTGCAATGGATATTCCAACCCTGAGCCCGGCCTGCTTTGCTCTTGCTGATCAAAAACGTTTTTGTGTGCTGCTTACCCCAATGGCTGTGCTATGTAAGGCTACGGTGGCAGTTCAGGAGGAGAGTCAAAGGTTATTTCCAAAAATAATTTTGATTAGGCCTATTCTAAAAAATGCCCTAACTTGCGCGTGGACTAGTCTATGTTCTGTTCAGTTCAGTTTGAGAAGGAGAGCGCGAAGATGAGAAGGAGGACCGGAGGTCAATTTTGATAACTTGCTACAACTATAATTGATTGAATTAAAAACAATGTTTTTTTCCCATGGTGTATTTATCAAAGTTATTGACCTCACAATATGCCAGATTCGAGTAATTGACATTTTGGTGCCAAAACTTGAAGCAGCAGCCGCGGCACAATCAATTGGAAAATGACAGATCATGGTGCTGAAAGTAGGCAAATTTGAGTAGGCATAATTAATTTCAACTGTCTTAATTTTAAGAAATAAGAGGTTGGCCTACCTGTTTGACAGACGATATTAGGTTATAGGCTGCTATATCCATAGATTTGTTGGTCAATTCCTCCACCCACCATGCACTCTTTAAATAGCCTACCTATGTGTCAGTGAAGGGTTGTTAAATTAAAACCAAGACTCAATTGAGGGGGGTATGAGAAGGTATGCCATAGGTCTACCTTTTATTAAAGAAAATGACAAAAAGCTCAGGCCTACCACTTGTTAGCTTAAGATTTTGAAGAAAATAAAGCGGATCCAATTATATAGTGATCTATAACAGCGCTTAGGTCCGCGATGTCATATGCTAGAAACAAGCTGTAAAATACCCGGGAAAGACGTGACTCCGATGCATATGGGGATATCAATGTTTCTTTGAAATTCAGAGGCTGACTTTGCTTGGGAAGTAATCTAATTCTGTCACTATCAATTATTTAAGCTATTCACTTTCTGTACAATAGAAGATGTTTAAACACAGACAGCTTTTAGGGAAACACTCTCCTTGGGTTAAGGCACGGAAGAAGAGTAGCCAGCAGTTAAATCTTACATTTTTCTCCATCGGTAGGCCTACTCTGTCTCAGATTTAATTATGACAGACAAAATGAGAAAAAAAATCCAGAAAATCACATTGTAGGATTTTTTATGAATTTATTTGCAAATTATGGTGGAAAATAAGTATTTGGTCACCTACAAACAAGCAAGATATCTGGCTCTCACAGACCTGTAACTTCTTCTTTAAGAGGCTCCTCTGTCCTCCACTCGTTACCTGTATTATTTTTTTTTCTCAATTTGTCTGTCATAGTTGACGTGTACCTATGATGAAAATTACAGGCCTCTCTCATCTTTTTAAGTGGGAGAACTTGCACAATTGGTGGCTGACTAAATACTTTTTCCCCCCACTGTATGCTTAGTTTAATACACTGAAAACAAACTTTAAGATACCAAAAATAATTTAGTCCAATCAATGTTGCTAAATATCATGTGGCTGTCCATGGGACTGATTTCTGTGTGTGTGTGTGTGTGTTTGCGCTTGCAAGTAAAACTTTTTTTTTTTTTTTACTCACCCTACTTGTAGACTATGCCATCCTCCTCTCTTTTATGTTGGCAAAACAGTCTATGGCTCTGTCATACAGTACTGTACACTTTGAGTTTTTGTTGTCATAGCCTACCTAGCTTCCTCGCATGGGCAACAATGAACCAGCTAAGTTAGCTAGCTAGTTAACGTGAGCCTACTAGGCTACATATAGAACTTTAATCGTCTCAGGCCAGTGGCACAACATATACATTTATGGTTAGATCAGAATCGCCGTCATAATCATTGGCCTGTACAGAGAATTAAGTCAAAACCACAAGACCAAATCTCCATCTCCACCCATGGCTTATTTAGCAAGCTAGCTACTGCAGGACATCAAAACAAACAGAAAAGTTTTGCTTAGGAAGTGATTTGATTGGTGTGAAGCCAAATCCAAACTAACCTCCCTTGGGGGCGTTTTGCTGCACCAGGACAACCCACAGTTGAGCTCAGCTCAACGCTGATTGCTACTTATTATTATTATTATTATTTTTTAGCAAGGGAGGCCAAATGCTTGCTGGAATCAATCAATCGAATGCTACAGCGGGAACATGTTATACTCTTTTGGTCCAGGCAGCATCAGATACATGGGCTACACATACTGAGACAGAGGCGCGCGTTTCCCTCGCTTGGATGATTTCTCCAGTGAGATTCAGCCCCTTGCGAATTGACAGAAAATTATAAAAACACAGAGACAAAAGATAAATAATGTATAATTTGATTTTTTTCATTGGTCAAATATTTGGGGAAGCATGGCTTCCCTTGGCATCCGTGAATACACACCACTGCTTTCCATGCTTTTCCACACTGTGGTGGTAGGCCTACAACATAACATATCCTTGTGTGATTCCAAGTTTACTTCCATATGATTGTTATTATATAAATATTAGCGCATAATCGGTTTCCACCGCCCTTTCTCGCATAATTAATTTTACAGACAAAACGATCCCACCATGTCAAATGAAAAAATTGTCTGTCGACATTTATGAATTTGAATCGACTTTGATTTCATGTTTACATCAGCCCTGTTGTGACTTTTTTTTATGCGTCATGAAATGGTTGGATGGGAACTGGGTTTATGTCAATTCAATTAAGGCCATGTTTTGATTCTTTGTTCACTGGTGGAAATTGTTTTACATCTTCTCCCCCCCCCCCCCCCCCCCCCCCCCCCCCCCCCCCCCAACCAGTGAGTGGAGAGGAGAAGAGAAGAACGGTGTGTGGATGGCGCGTCAGTTGAATGTCTTGGTGGTGGAAGAGGAAGACTTTTACATTAACTACACGTGTCACGCCTGGAGCGACAGAGGCATTTATTCAGCCTACTTCACACTCCACCCTACAGGTTAGCCCAGCGGTCACCAACCATTTGAGTCAAGATCACTTTCTGAGTCAAAATGCAATCTAAGATCTAACTCTCAGTTTTTTTTGGAACATGATTTAAAAAACGTAAGTCTATGCAACATTAACCTATTAAAAACAGTACTGTACCAATGAGGTTTGTGCAGTAGGCTATAGGCCCAATACATTATCTCTGCATATTGGCTTTGCTTGAATTGCCCTGCCAATGCATTGTTTTTTAATTATATTAAAACATTTGAGGTAGGCTATAATCACACCGGTAATAGATCAGTTGTTGTATTACTTGTGAGGCACAGCTGAATGAGCATACATTTAAATAATTTGCTTTTTATTTTAATTTGACTGGGCTGATGGTGCTTGCATCTGATGGTCAGTCTCAGCTGAGGGAGAGCAGCAAACTCCGCCACTGACACTGACTAAAAGGGGACACCGTCTTCCAGCAGATAGCGAAATTCGAATCGCACCGCATTATTTCTGCCTCATGCACAAATTCATGTTGTTGCTCTTATGAACAGAGAAAGTGAAATATTCCTCCATATTAAAAAATACCCTAATAATAACAACGCAAGCCTATCGATACACTTTCCTACTCATTCATTACAGCTGCAGTGCTGGTTGTAGCGCTAGTGGAAGTAGGAAGAATGCGCATTTTATGGCTTATAAAAGTGTTGAATAAAAACTGTTGACCAGTGGAAGCTGCTGAGGGGCAGTGGTGGAAAATGTACTCAATTCTCATACTTGAGTAAAAGTGAAGATACCTTAATAGAAAATGACTCAAGTGAAAGTGAAAGTCACCCAGTAAAATACTACTTGAGTAAAAGTCTAAAAGTATTTGGTTTTAAATATACTTAAATTCCAAAAGTAAATGTAGTTGCTAATATATACTTAAGTATCAAAAGTAAAAGTAAAAGTACAAATAATAACAAATTCCTTATATTAAGCAAACCGGATAGCCAGGGTCACACTCCAACACTCAGACATAAAAACAGCAGCTCTTTGTTGTATTTGTTGACAGTCTCTCTCTAGTCATGGTTTTAAAAGTTTTCAAATCTCACAGTATCAATTTTGCTTCAGCTTTCTTTTACGCCTGCTACGTAACTGCAGACATGATAATCTGAGCATGCACTTGATTTGCTCTCTTGGCCGCTAGGAAGGCAGATTTTTCTAGTCTACCTTCAGACACATGAAATGGGAATACTTGGCCTACCCAGCGCGCAGGGCCGCTGAATCATGTGCACCTACCGCCAACAGCGCGAGACCAATAAATAAAAATAGGAACACAAGGCTTTTCCTTGGGTTTTTTACAAAAATGCTTGGCGATTGACTAGGAATGCCTTGGAGATGGTTGGTGACCACTGGGTTAGACAATACTGCCTGGAAGACAACATAAAGGTGTTCAGAAAGAGAAGAATCACATATTCTCCTGTCCCTTTACCCTTGTTTTGATAGTGTAATATATTAGATAACAACTTTGCAAACTAACCACAAAAAAATAAAAGTTTTAGAATTAAACTAGTCACCTTGACTTTGGGTAAAAAACGGTAGCAAAAAGAATACATTTTAAATGCTATCTTCTTGACTTTTTCTGCACAGATCCAAACTACCTGCTCCCTATTGGGGTACTACTGACCAGTCTGGTATTGATGTTTACTGTTAGTGTTGTCATTTACCATCGCTTCAAGATCGACATAGTGCTGTCGTTCAGGAGGATGTTCCCGTTTCTCTACACAAACACAGGTACGTAATGAGAGACGCTGTATTGTAAAAGCACACTCATGGAAACATTCACAAAAACATGCCTGAGCACACTCACGCAGGCATGAATGCACACACACACACACACACACACACACACACACACACACACACACACACACACACACACACACACACACACACACACACTATCTGCAGACTCATTGCACACTGTAGTGGCTTCCAATTCTAAATTAGCCACTGCCCTAGCAATAGTTGATTAAGTTTCAACGCATCTTTTATTCCTTTGTTCTCCTTTAGAATCAGGGTTCCGTAGTTTGCCACAGGTCTTCATTCATAACTAAATTAAACTTTCAAGAACAATGCAATGCCTTTTGTACCTCAGTGTGTTATGGGTAAAGGATAATATGAAATGTTGTTAGTGGTGTAGCCTCCAACCAGTGCTAGGACTTCCCCCCCTAGCTTCCCAAACTACCTCCCCATATCGACTTTTGCTTCCCAGTAGAGTGGGCAGGTTCAAGCTGTCAATCATGGCTCAGGTAAATAAGTAACCATAATATGGGAAGCTCATCTAAATAATAATGCATATCCTTCTAATTAATCATAAATGATAATTCTTCTTTAAAGGGCCTTTTGGCTCCTACACATACTGTGCATTCACACAACGGAAACAACTCACACTAACATAAACGTACATACCGACACCAGATTACAGACAGAAATGCACATAAAGTATATCTCACCACAACCTCCCAGGCCCACACTCAAACCCACACACACGCACGTTGCATTGCTTGTTTCCCACTCCCCACCTCACCACAAGTAAAATCAGCAGCAAGTGTAGCGAGGTACTGTAGCACATCCCACAGCTATGCAAGCACAGTATTTTCCATGACTCAGAGGAAAGAGAGAGATGCAGTTTTCTACGAGGCACTGAATAGGCCATGTAACCATAAAACACAAGTAACTATGGTGTCAGACATAACCAAGCCTCCTCCGTTACGCAGTGCTGTGGAGGCTTTTGCTCTAGCCCAGCACTAACACACCTGTTGTTTTTTACCCTCTTCTGCATGCGGCAGAGTCTGATGGAAAGCTGTATGATGCATATGTGGCGTATCCCCATCTGTTTGGGAGCGGGGCCAGTGGGGAGGTGGAAATGTTTGCCCTCCACACGTTGCCCCAGGTTCTCGAGGGGAGGTGTGGCTACAGGCTCTTTATTCTGGGCCGGGACAGCCTACCAGGGGAAGGTAAGACATCTGCATGTGTGACTGACTGTGTTAGAACCTGGGGCTCCTGGGCGCCACAGGACTGTGTTAGTCCACTGAGCTAAAGCCTTGGCATTAGTACACATGTAGTATGATGATTAAATATGTGGAACCTTTCTGAAATCATAAAGAACTTCTAAAAAACCATCTTAATCATAAAACAGTGTTTTAATACCCATTGTCCCTCTTCCCTAACCCCCTCTACCTCTTCTCCTCCCTCGCCCACACCCTCTAGCCATAGTAGATGTTGTGGAGGAGAGCATGCGGGCCAGCCGGCGTCTCCTCCTGATCTACACTGGCTCTACGTTCTGCAGTGGAGGTCACAGTGACAGCAGCAGCAGCAGCGGTGTCCTGGAGGCCTGGCAGAGCTTCGAGAGGCAGATGGCCATGCACCGTGCACTGCTGGAGGGTTCCCTTAAGGTGGTCCTGGTGGAGCTGGAAGAGATCTCCCCCACACAGCTGGCCTTCTTCCCCGAGTCGGTGCGCCACATCCGGGAGCGCCAGGGCGCTGTCTGCTGGTGGAAGAGTAGCAGGACTAGGAGGACCAGAGGGTTGAGGTGTGGGAGGTGGGGAGAAGAGGGGGAGGTGAAGGAGAAGAGAGGGGAGCTGGCTTCGCCCTCTCTCTCCTCACCCTCTCTCTCCTCATCCTCACACTTCTGGAAGGAACTGAGGTATTATATGCCTGTGAGGGGCAAGAGGACAAGGTGTCCAGAGAAGAACAGTCTGTTGATCATCTGATGGGATAGATGGGCTGTTGGGAGAGGACAGTGTTGTCATGTTATGGATGGATGTTCAAATGACCAATGTTGTCTGTTGAATGAACGGTCTTCTGATACCATGGAAAGAATCAAATAACACTTTTGTTTGGATTATCTGCCCCTCACAGCACATTTTTCAATCAGACTTTGGAGGACTGAACCTCTGGGGTGAGATGTATTTGAGGCGGGAAGATAATTGATCGTCCTCCAATTAATGTTAGAAAATGCATTGTGGAATGCATACGCTCACGCACACACTCACACATGCGCACACACATGCACACACATGCACACACACTGTGGAACACCTCTACCATGTTGTACATACACACCAAATATGTGTGAGAGCTTTAATAAAGATTGCACAGTACATTCTATACTATTTATTTGATGTCTTTGTTTCTATTTTAAACCCCTTGACTTTTTCCACATTTTGTTACGTTACAGCCTTATTCTAAAATTGATTGAATCGTTTTTTTCCCCTCATCAATCTATACACAATACCCCATAATGACAAAGCAATAACAGGTTTTTAGACATTTTAGAAAATATAACATTTACATAAGTATTCAGACCCTTTACTCAGTACTTTGTTGAAGCACCTAAAGTCTTCTTGGATATGACGCTACAAGCTTAGCACATCTGTATTTGGGGAGTTTCTCCCATTCTTCTCTGCAGATCCTCTCAAGCTCTGTCAGGTTGGATGGGGAGCGTCGCTGCACAGCTATTTTCAGGTCTCTCCATAGATGTTCGATCGGGTTCAAGTCCGGGCTCTGGCTGGGCCACTCAAGGACATCTTGAAGCCACTCCTGCATTGTCTTGGCTGTGTGCTTAGGGTCGTTGTCCTGTTGGAAGGTAAACCTTCGCCCCAGTCTGAGGTCCTGAGCGCTCTGGAGCAGGTTTTCATCAAGGATCTCTCTGTACTTTGCTCCGTTTATCTTTCCCTCGATCCTGACTAGTCTCCCAGTCCCTGCCGCTGAAAAAAATCAACACAGCATGATGCTGCCACCACCATGCTTCACCGTAGGGATGGTGCCAGGTTTGATGCTCCAGACGTGACGCTTGGCATTCAGGCCAAAGAGTTCAATCTTGGTTTCATCAGACCAGAGAATCTTGTTTCTCATGGTCTGAGAGTCTTTAGGTGCCTTTTGGCAAACTCTAAGCGGGCTGTCATGTCATGTTTGCCTTTTACTGAGGAGTGGTTTCCGTCTGGCCACTCTACCATAAAGGCCTGATTGGTGGAGTGCTGCAGAGATGGTTGTCCTTCTGGAAGGTTCTCCAATCTCCACAGAGGAACACTGGAGCTCTCTCAGAGTGACCATCGGGTTCTTGGTCACCTCCCTGACCAAGGCCCTTCTCGCCCGATTGCTCAGTTTGGCCGGGTACCCAGCTCTAGGAAGAGTCTTGGTGGTTCCAAACTTCTTCCATTTAAGAATGATGGAGGCCACTGTGTTCTTGGGGACCTTCAATGCTGCAGAAATGTTTTGGTACCCTTCCCCAGATATGTACCTCGACACAATCCTGTCTCGGAGCTCTGCGGACAATTCCTTTGACCTCATGGCTTGGTTTTTGCTCTGACATGCACTGTCAACTGTGGGACCTTTATATAGACAGGTGTGTGCCTTTCCAAACCATGTCCAATCAATTGCATTTACGACAGGTGGACTCCAATGAAGTTGTGGAAACATCTCAAGGACGATCAATGGAAACAGGATGCACCTGAGCTCAATTTGAGTCTTATAGCAAAGGGTCTGAATGTTTATGTAAATAATGTTTTTTATTTTGCAAAATTGTATAAAAACGTGTTTTTGCTTTGTCACTGTGGGGAATTGTGTGTAGATTGATGAGGACATTTTTTATTTAATCAATTTTAGAATAGGGCTGTAATGTAACAAAACGTTGAAATAGTCAAGGGGTCTGAATACTTTCCAAATGCACTGTATAAGTGTAATATTTATGAATGCAGTTACTAAGTAGGTCTAAGTATTTATGAATAGCACACTGACATTTGCTATTATAGCAATAATGCTTTATAAATGGTGAGACGACTATTAACAAATACCTTAAATTATTTATTAAAGCACATTATTGTAGCATTCCCTGAAAATTACCAGAAACTTTGCAGAAAGGGTGTGGCGTTTTGCAGAAGTTGGTTGCATGGTAGCTCTTTTCTTATGGCTAGCCTACTAAGCCTACAAACAGGTAGGCCTTAATCTGTGACTGCTAACCTGCTTTACTGTAATCCAATGTGATCATAAAATTGGCTAGGTCATTTAAAATAAAGTTTATCTAAAATACTTAAAGATCTAATATAAAAATGTTTAAGTAGTCTATTTTAATTCATTTCAAGTGGAGTTAAAGTGAATATGAAAAGTAATCAAATGGTTAATTATAGCAGTTCAATTAAACAATGTTAATGGTTTGACTAATCTTGTTTTCAAAGTTGATGATGAGCTGTGAAAATATTGCAGACACATAGGCCTATAAGACTTAATAAGGCTTAATAATTCATTATTACTATGATATGTAGGAGTAGTAGTAGGCATACAGGCCTACCTAAACTTTGACAAGTGTTTTCACCAGTAGACCTATTGGAGTAACATTTAGCCACTTTAGATTGGAATGGCTTTTCTGAAATAGGCCTACATACACTTCCCCTTCCAATTTCTTACTAGGCCAAGTTTAGCAGCCTGGTGTCATAGACTATATCTAACAGAGTAAAGTAAATCCGAGACACTCAAATTAGTATGATATATGTTACGTTTGGTATGGGTAAATAAGACAAAAGGTTACTTAAGGCATAAACGTGTATAACGAGAACGTCTAGCTGCGTGTTCGAATCTCATCATGGACAATTATTGCTAATTAGCAACTTTGCAACTACTTACTACTTTTGAGCTACTTTGCAACTACTTAACATGTTAGCTAACTCTTCCCCTAACTCTAACTCTAACCCTAACCTTAACCCTTTTAGCTAACCCAGCGTTTTCCAAACCACCAAGGAGTGCACGTTTGGGTTTTTACCCTAGCACTACACAGCTGTGTAGTGCTAGGGGGAAGAAAAAAAACATGCACCCCTTGGCGTCCCCAGGACCGAGTTTGGGAAACGCTGAGCTAACCCTTCCCCTAACCCTAACCCCTATCCTAGCTAATGTTAGCATTAGCCACGTAGCTAACAATAGCAACAACACATTGGAATTCTTAACATATAAGTTTTGCAATTCGTAACATATTGTACATTTTGCAATTTGTAACATATTGTACGTTTGCAAATTTGTATCATGTGGGGCACGCGTAGACAAGATGGCGTATTGAATAGAAAGCGGTACAAAACACCTCAATATAAAAACATAATATTCAAAATCAGTAAGTTAGACTAAATATTAGCATTTCATATATTCGCAGTTAATATAATTCAATCTGGATAATAACACAAAACAGATCATAAGGCTAGAGAAATATATCGACAAATATTACAACAACACGCAACACCCAAACATGACTGAAGACAAACGTGGAGAGCCGATCCCCAAAAGGAAACGCGACTCATCGACTGATACAGATGATATATGCTTTTCACCACTGGGACTGGGTATGGTAAGTGTGGAAAGCGACCTGTTGAAGTCAATAAATGACAAATTGGGCATACTAGAATTGGTCAGTAAAGACGTAAAAGAGTTGAAAGCGAGTCTTCAAATGAGTGACGAAAAAGCTTTGGTAATGGAGAAAGAAACCAAAAAATTAAAAGTGACAATCTCTAAAATGGAAACGGACGTAAGGGAACTAAAAAAGGAGAACAACCTTCTGAGAGAAGCCTTACTAGACATCCAAACTAGATCGATGAGGGAAAATCTAGTACTTACGGGTATTCAGGAAAAGGAGGGAGAAATAACAGATAATATTATGAAGGACTTCCTGCATACAGCGCTACAAATCCCACTCGAGGCTGTCGATAAAATCCAACTCGAACGTGTACACCGTTTCGGAAAAAGAGGACAGAAATATGAGCGCCCAATCGTTGCCAAATTTGCTTTTTTTTAAAGATAAAGCTATGGTGAAAAGCCTAGGAAAAAGACTTGCTGGCACGAAAATAGGCATGAATGATCAGTTCCCGAGGGAGATTGTAGAAAGGCGCAAAGTTCTGTATCCAATCTTCAAGGAAAACAGATTAAAAGGGAAACGTGCTGCACTCGTGGTGGATAAACTATATATTGACAAACAAATGTTCAGAGACACAAAGACTACTCCATGGCTATTCTAAAAGTTGTAATAGAGGAGTCGAATATTGGAGCACCTGATACTAGCAATGATAGGGATTGTAATATTAAATAACATTTATAGTAAGTATAGTATTTTATAAAAGGATAAAACGACATAACAAGCAGAATAATACATCTTTAAATACAAATAATTAGAACATGGCTTTTTTGGCGGGATGTTGTTGTTTTGGCGGATGGTTGTTGTGGTTGGTCCTGTGTTCTCTCTGGCGTCCTTTCCCCCTTGCGGCAGATGTGGATGCGGGTGCGTTTGCACGCTCGGCCCATTTCTTCCGCAGTCAACCATGTGGTGTGCATTTTTGTGTTTGAAAAGGTGCGGCGTTAAGTGAGTGAGAGGGGAAATGGTTGCATATCCCAGAGCCGACCGGGGGTCTATGAGCAGGGGTAGTGAGAGAGAGCTTTCAATTTTGTGTAGATGAGGGATATACATTTTTAAATATAGTATACATCTAATCTAATTTTTCATTGTCCTATCATGATGGAAAGATCCCTAACCCTATAACCTGGACACCCACCTGAGCGACCCATACACCAAAGAGAAGTTCCCATCTCTTTTATGGACCTGCTGTGAGTATGCAGCCTAAACAGAGAAATAAATGCAGTCAGAGACCTACTTGAGCAGCACCGCCCCCTCAAGATTCTGAGCCTGCCTGGCAGGGTTGGTCCTACAAAGCCAGAGCCCCCTGATGGGAGAGCATAATATACAAGGAAATTATCAAAGCTGCTAATGAGAACCTTGACGACTTTTTAACTAGCCGGTGGGGATTCCGGTGGGGTACGCCCACCCAGGTAGTGGCAGTGCTGGCAACACTGGCTGCAGTAACCCATGGGGAGGGGGTTTATCATTGTGGCCCAGGTGGCACAAAATAATCAAAGGTCTGACCGCACGGAGATGCTTGGGAAAATGGTTACAACAGGGGATCAGAGTGTTTGTGTCTCAGGTGAAGAGGGTGGATCTGATCTCCATCACCTAGGACTTGACATAGATTAAGTAGATTAATCAAATCTCACATTGTTATC